TAAGTGTGTCGCAGGATACCCTCTAGGTGATAGTTCTTGATTACTTTTTGATAAATAATTCGTTCTTATTGCGAAATAGGAGCACTGTTTATCAATCTTTAATAAAAGACGTGAGGAAATTCTCTCTTTTTTAAAGACAAACATTTTTGAGGCAAAACACCCAAAAAGAAGTTTGAAAAAAAAATAATCCGCCTCAACAATATAGAACTTATCTAAAAGAAAACTATACCTTCTGCAGTTTCGACGAATACATGTGTATAAATACGAAACAATCCCAGTTATCTCGGAGAACTGCGGAGGCTGTGCCTTGAATAATTCATCATGACCGTGGGTTGGCCTTGGCTAAAAGTGGATAAAAAATTAAACAGGTCAACACGATTATTCGCTGAACGGCAATCAAGGCGGCAATTTAATGCGATATTTATCATTTTCTTGACGACCGCATTTAGCAAGACAGGGGAACGCCAGATTGTTTACTGACTAATTGTTTTAGAAAAGAAACATTGTTAAATTATTCGCACCAACTAGGTACGGCGTCAAGAGGGTACCTATTGCGAAAAAATAAAAAGGTCTAAAGTCATATCTACCTGAAACCTACAAGATTATTTTATAGCCATGAAAACAATACAAAGCATTCTAGACCTGGGTGCTTGGGGCCATTCTTCTGCCGTGGCATTTGTTTGAAATTGTCAGGTCAACGTTAAACCGTCTCCAAAAGCAGTCGATGATTCACTGGACTAAATAACTTGGTGAAATCGACCAAGCGGACAAAAGCGTAATATAAAGCCAATAAATTACGTCTGCGGTTACAAGCAAAACCAGTTTTGTAACCGTTTCACTTTCTCTTCTTATTCCGTTTTTAATAACTACTGGATTTTGATGTCAAGAACACCCATGCTTAATCATGTAGGTACCTATCACAAAGTCTGATTTTCATATCATTGTACCTTATCAACAAATGCGTGCTTAGAGAGTTTTATATGGGTACTTCGAATTTGGAGATTCCTGGCAATCTACTTAACATTGTTATACTTTTCTGACTGTGTTTCAATTCCAAATCAAATTCATTCCTGGGTTTGAAATGACGGAAACAGCAGCAACAACGCTACATATAAAAACTGATGATGGTGGAAAAATACACCGAAACGTATTTTGATTGATAAATAGAGACAATAAATGACTGAAACCCAGGAATAAATTTGATTTGGAATCTACATAACTATATCCAATCGAAATTCCTCTGGGCCCAGAGCTGACTTCGAAAGAGTTCAAAACGTTAAATCACTATGAGATTTTGACTTAAAAGATTTAGCATGAAAAGTGCCTATTCAGTGCTTTACAATTTTTGGGGATTTGTTTTCTGAAATGTCGCGAATCCCATGTAAGTGTGATGAGGCTCACGAAGACTGTCTAGGGACAGTCCTATACAGCCTCTGCTTGTCTTCCATATGTAATAGTTTAAATTATCAGGGAACTTTTATTTGATTTTCATCTCAGTAAGATTTATAAATATTTCCGTTTCCTTCAGGACTGGACATTGACTGACATACAGTGCTGGAGGAGCACAATGAGGACCCATTTTTGTTGAAAATGCGGCTAACTGGAGATGGAGGTAGGTATGCCTACTTTGAAGTAACAGGCTTATTAAGAGTACGTTTACTAAAACATGAATGTAACATATTTCAGTTTTTGAATCATTATTGCACGGTGAACTTGTTGGAATAACATCTCGAAAATCCCGATCGTCGTCGATGTTGCGCCAAAAGAACCGTCAATTATTGCAGGTAAGACTTAGATCACGCTAGCATAATCGAATGAGAATTTTTTTTTCCGAAATTGACAATTAATAAACAAAAATAATATTTGTCAACAACGACAAAATTCATTAAATTCATTCCTGGGTTTCAGTCATTTATTGTCTCTATTTATCAATCAAAATACGTTTCGGTGTATTTTTCCACCATCATCAGTTTTTATGTG